AATACCTGTAATACATGTAGTTGCTTTCATTTATTACGATTAAATAATTAAATAATACAATGTTTCATTTCTAAAGTTTGCATTTGAATAGAATATAGATTCAATCTTGAGATTCTGCAGGGCTAATAATCCAGCTCACATAACTGTAAATTTGAGTATACAATGTGTACGCAAGACTACATGTACAGTACTTAACTCTCATTGTTATACTTGTGATTTTCAAGACTTTAGGCCTACATACATACATGTACATGTACATGTACAATTACATTACGCATACAGCCTACTATTAAAGCTAATTATGCTACAGAACTCGCTGTATAGAAAAAAATATTGATTTTCTGCTTTTGCTATTGTTATTGATTTTTTAATTGCAACTGGAAGCTGACACAACTGGAGGAAATATTTGTATTCAATTCAGAGAGTGATACACTATAATGATGATGCAATATACTGCATAAAAAGGCAGCAGATTTCCATGATGCTCAGCTGGAGACCTATCGCTATGTATGATCATAGTAGTTTATGATCATTGTTTATGATCGATGTTTATGATCGAATAGTAGTCAATAATTTTTTAATCTTCACCAGTGTAATGGGATCTCCTCCTACTTGCTGCAGTCTGAAGATTGCGTGATCCCCAAATTTCTACGCCAGGTGCTACAATGTAGGCATACGTAAGGATTCATGGAAAACACACCATCTCCAGCTTGCAGGAGGTACACATGTAGGGGATATCACAATCATCAAAATAAAATGACATCGCCCAGATTCTGAACTAGACCAATAAAAGCTTTCTGCATAAAAGCAAGGTGATCGGCCATTTGCTGTGGTGACACTTGCTGCAGACTTTTGTTTTGTTGTTGTTATAGGGTTAGGGTTAGAGTTAGGGTAAGGTGTTAATAGTGCGTTGTTGGGTCCAGGGTTGAAGTAAAGAATTCTGTCAAGGTATGAAACTGACCGTTGTGACAGAAGCATGCATGTGTTGTTCAACCTGTTATCATGACCTACAGTCTCGATCTCCACATACCAGAAATTATGTACAGATCCTACACGGAATGTACATGTATATGCCTAGATGTCTGCTACTTGTAAAAGCAAGCCATGAACATGATCTCTACTTCTACATGCCATGTATGTATTCAGCCATCATACAACACTCATTGCCACGAAGCATGATCAACTGTTAGTTCAGGAAGTAGTCCTCTATTAGGTTACTGAGCTGCTAGCCAACCATAGACATTGATAGGCCCAGGGAAGACCTGATATCTATTTACAAAACAAATCATGCTTCCCTGGACAGACGCCATCAGGGACACATTTAATAGCAGTCATATCATTCTCTGAATTTAAATGTACATACAATTGTACAGGCCATGATTGTAGCATCTGTACATGTACATGTAACTTGTGTAGGCATACTGTAAGTATAGCATGAATAGGCCACTTTAGTCTGTGCATGGGTAGATAAAGGTCATTCAAACAAATTTTAAACCCATTAGAAGATCGGGTATGTGCTCATGAAAGTTATATAATCATTATTCATTTATGCACCGATGGCACATTCTATGATACACATGTGAATGTACATGTTTATTTCAATAACTGAAGCTCTTCAGTTTTGTGTGACAAAGTCACTGTCGAAGTGAGAGATAAAAATGCTCTAGAAGTGAGTCATACTCTGCACAGTGTGATCAGGATATCACATTTAGTTTCTTCATAGATCTTGATAAAAGATAAAGATGATATCGTCTCAAGATATCTACTAAGATAATCAAGTATTTGTAGAAAAGATTTTAGATGTTCAGCCTGTATGGTGAGAGATCTAGGCTCACAATTTTCTGACTACATCCTTTTTGAAGGTACTATTCATTACATTTTCCCATAGTTTTTAATGCATGTTGGGAGAGGGAGGGTCGAGTAACATGGTTTTGCAGATCCCCATCCAAGTAGTTCGGTAGCAAGATCACAGGAACATGAATTTACAGTAAAAAATAAAGTCAGGAAGTTCAGATATAATTTTAATTGAATATGAGAATACCGGTACCTCTTTTTGAGCTCTCAAAATTAGACATTATATTGTTGAGATTAAACAAAAATCACAACTTTTGTCTCAATTTACAAGTGCTTTCATTTGAAATCTGCTTTTATTTTATTTAAAACATTTTAGATATGTCTTGGCATTATCCAGTAAGTACTCGAGCATTCGACTACCCGTCGCAGCCTTATTATCCAGCTGTGTATTAGAAATATTTGATATACACAATTTACACATGTAAAACTTTGTTTAGTATAGTGTCTTTGATTCATATCTGTGGTTTAAACTAATACTGACCACAATAACATACTATTCAGTTGACATGAACTTAAAAAAGAGTTCTCCAACAATGTAGACCTTCGTCTCCATATTCATATTTTTCAGATAACTAAAACCTGAAATGTCAGGCTTCTCCTAATGTGATTAAAAAAAATGAGCACACATTTTCTAATATATTTAGAAATTTCATATATTCTACATCTACATCTACATGTACCACCAAAGGTAATTTTGGAACTTGTAGGAATGTATTGTTAGCATAGCTGTGAAAGCCATTACCCAGTTCGTTTGTCAGTGCAGTCTTTTATGAAGTGTGAGTGATATGTTACTTCCTTGCCAATCAATCAGTTTTCACCAAACTTTCATATGTCCTTCAAATATTTTATTGCATTATTCAAATTATAATTTATTAACACTTTCAGTTTCTATAACTGTAGAAGGATTGAAGGTTAATTTATAAGTCTAGCATTGTTTGGCTGAAGTGTCATCCTGTTTATATATGAGTGCAATAATCATTTGGCATCCATGATTTTAAAATGGAATATGCGAAAAACACTTGAAGTAATTTGATCACTGAAGAGCCGATTTGTATTTGGATATGTGAATAACTTCAAGTACAAACAGCATTTGAAAATCAATTTTTATATCAATACAAGTGTGCACCAACAACTCAGTAATGATACATTTTGTAAGTTGATATTGTGTAAGAAAGCAATGTTTAATGTCAATTCCTTCTTTAGATACATCCGTGTCTAAATTAGAGTAATTCTTAAGTATAGATCGTGTTGAAACAGTTTTATCAATGGTTAGTAGTACTGTGAAATATAAATAGAACATAAAGTGTTCTCAATGATGAGATGACCAAGAAAAAAGAAAAAGATAACGCATGCAATATTCTATCCCACCCACCCCCCTCCCACATAAAATAAGGGGGAAAAAAAGAAGGAAATGTGGAATTTCAAATAAAACACTATTATTTTTGTATTTCTGCTTCAATGAAATAGTTCACTTGCTAATCATAGAAGTTGAACTGATTTGATATTTTTAGTGTTAATATTTAGTCTGCTTCAAACATACAAACATGTTTGAAACCTATCGTTTTGCTAATATCTGGATATATTTCACTTGAAATGTTGAAAGAAAACCCCACATTTTAAGCAGATATTACCAGACACCTATATTTAGCAACATGCACATACCAAAAATACGTATTTGTGTAAATCATCCATGGCAACTTTGTGTCAAATAAGTAACAGATTAGAGGAAGAGCCTCTTCCTAATTCTTAGAAAGATTTGTGATTCTATTTCACTCATGATATCACTAGGATGTAGATTATGCTTGACAATGTAATCCTAAGCGAGTACATTGTAGAAGGAAATCCGTGAAAATTCCGGTTTACTGAGACAGATACCAAGATTCAAGTGAATCACAAGTTTAGACATGATATTTCATGTAATGTACAGTCACATTGTTGTGATCAAAATTTAATATTTGCTTGTTTTTTTAATCAAATTCAATGGTGATTTCTTTGTTTAATTCTAAATTCAAAGCTCACTGTTTGTAATGAAAATCTCAACAACTTTTCTTTGACTTCAGTCAGTATTTTATTCCAGGGTTTTTATGACTATATAGCAAATATATGATTCATCTCCTGTCCAAATTTTTTTTCTTTCTATTTTGTTCTTTAATTCAAGCCCCTAAAAAGTATTGTATATTTATTCTTTTGTTGAAATTATCATATTCAAATGGTGTGATTAATTTGTTTAATGAAATAATATAAGAATGTTTTTGGTAATATGGTTGCCAGATTACATAAACACATAAACTTTGCTAATTCATAATGAAATGGGAGAGGATTGGGGGAAGAAAAGCTGACAATGCCTCCAGTTTTAATGTAGTCTATTTTTAGTAGTTAAAAAAATAATTATTTATTTTATTTATGTAATTCAGAGATTGGGAAAGATATATTGTATTCGTCTCAGATAGTTGAAAAGGTTATCATACATAATGTATTATGGAAATCAGTCTACTCCTCTGTACAAAGTGGTACCAAAGGGAAATATATGTATGATCTAATCATGAATAATTGCTACACCCACACGATAACAAAAGGATACAAATTAAGAAAACAGGTAATTTCATATCACAGATTGTCAGGAATGACAAGAACACTTGTAACTTTCCCCTTTTTAACCATTAATGGGGAAGAATTTTAAATCACATTTTGGTTTCTAGTTTATTTATGTCAATATTCTGTTCTTGTATATTTATAGCAGTAATTACGTTTTGATATAACCTCCTACATACTTTCCAAAGTGCTTTGGAAATTACCCTGATTTGAGCTTCAACACACAGTGCAGCTCAGGAGAATAAACCCACTTTACTACCCTGGGTCTAGAGTGGCAAATGCAGGTGAATGCCTTACCAAAGGACATTATGTTTAACTAGAGTTCAAATAAACAAAAAAGCCTTTGAATCTTCAGTTGAATACACCTCTCACTGTATTTTCATGTCTAAAAATAGTAATCAGAACTGACACAACATGGAATTTTTGCGGAAATATCTATTTGCCAAAGTTTCTGGTTTAAGTTTATTACACAGATATCATTATAAATCTGTAGTTACATTTGGTGTCGTAAATGAATATTCTTCATTTTCTTGTCTGATTTTGTGTCTTTGCAGGAGGTGAAAGGAGGCAAGTCCTACACAAAATGTGGGTTTGTGGATATCAACCTAGCAGAGTTTGCTGGAGCAGGCTCGACGTCCAGGAGATACCTTCTAGAGGGCTACGACTCCAAGAATAGACAAGACAACAGTACATTAAAGGTTAGTATCACAAACATTTCTGATGGCTGGAGAAGAAGGGAATACTAGAAACTTTGTTTTAAATTCTTGAAAATGTCATGTCATTTGCGTATGGAGCCCCTTTCTTCCCTTTCCCAAAGAAGTGGGTTCCAGGAGATGTACAGGTGTACCTGGTACATGGTTTAACGTTTGCAGTATCAGGTTCAACGTCCAGGTGATACCTACAGACTTCAAGAATATACAAGACGGGAGTGAAGTAGAAGTAAGAATCACACATACCTGTACTGTACATGTAGGTTGACCACAGGATAATAAGAACTTGTTTTTTCTTGGATTGAATTTAAGAAATTTCTCCCTTCCCCTGTCCCTTCTTCCCAAATCAAGTTCAGAGAACTGAGGTCTCACCTGGTACTCTGGGAGATGTAGAGAACACATGGCAGCAGTACGTTGCAGGTTTATGTAACACAGAATTTAGGCAAAGGGATGGAGAAACAATGTTCTGTGACTTTGAATTCAAGATAATTCCTTATCGTTATCGAGTGTGGGACACCCCCCCCCCCTTTTTTTTTCTCAAGTCGAGATCAGGTGTTGTACACCCAAGCAATTCATTAACTTGAAGGCTATGATTCCAAAAGCAGATAAAGACAACAGAGTACACATATATTATCATTTTACCCTTTAAGAGTTTGGTATTAAGATAACAAGAACTGAGAAATGTCATTTCCTCATAATAAAGGGTTAATAATTAAAAGATGTATTATACATTATGAATTTCACGTAGCAGTATAGACCCAAGGAACTTTTATTTGCATCACTGCTCTTTGGAAGAGTGCAAAGTGGGAATGGGTGGTGATATTGAACATTTCTTTATAACTCATGACGAGGGATTCAAACAGATTGAAACTGAAATTGTTGTATCAAGAAAGATTATGATTTATGATCAGTGCTTTCATATTATAAATGTACCAACATGTTTTTATTTAGACTGTCAGTTTTTATAAGCACTATTAAATGATTTAATAGGTAATTGAGCTTGTACAGTGGGTGTTAAATGTGTCAAGCATATATTTATAAATGTACATACTACATCCCATGATCATACATGTACCTTACATATAATCTGTTGGGAGCCAGAAGGGCATTACTCCTTTACCCGCAAGAAAGGGTTAATGCCATGTTGGGACCTAACAGACGATAAACGGTACACATAGATTATGTTTATGGTATACCAGACTTACCGGTTCATTAAAGGGATCCGGTAACTTTGTCTCTGATTCTGAAACAAACTTCTGGATTTAGCTCATGATGCAATGATAATTATAAACCTTTAGGTCAGTCAGGATGCAATGATAATTATAAACCTTTAAGTCAGTCAGGAATCCCATGACTTTTACAAGCCGATCGCCTGTCTGATTATCAAGATATTTATGATTGGAATTACAAATTTTGAAAAACGTTCGCCTTCACGGTTTTCATAACCCTACAATCTATTGGGGATAATGAGTGTGGTAAAACTGGTCACTCAAAGATTTTTACTTTTTTGAGGCACTTCTTGATCATTTTGAAGCGCAATTTTTTTAGGGCTTCAATATTACACCATATCACAGACACTGATAACATGTAGGGCCGTGTATCTCAGATTAAACATTGTTAAACAATCCCTTTAAGCTTTATCAGGGTCAATGAAGATACAGTGAATACAGTATATATCAACATGTCGTATTAAAAACTAAAGCTTCTACATACATGTGTACATGTAGCATTTCATAACATGGTTTCACATTTGTTTCATACAGCATATATCATCAAGCTACAGAACCGATTTCTGGCCCGATATGCCTACCGGTACATGAAATTGGGGTTTTAGAAATCTATACAATGTTATCCATGCTATTCCAATTTTAATTGAAATTTCAAATTTTATTTTGCTTACCGGTATCTTAACATATGTGGGGGGGGGGGGGGTGCGTTATACAAACATGTAGGTTAAGTACAGATATGAACTTTGAGAGTATAAACTTTTGATGGACAACAAACCAAATAATAGTGTTGGTAAAACATGCCTTGGGGGCCAAACCTACCTGCAACTACGCTTTAGCCTTTCCATGAACCATCAGAGTGTTGTATCCTGAGATTTCTAGCCCTGAAAAGATCCGCCTTCATGAAGTACACTGTAACCAGTAGCCAGGTTCACACAACTGTCTGTTAATTTGATGTTATAAGGTCATTGTTATAAATGTCAAATTTAAAGCTAAACTTTAGTACTGGTAATGCGATTGCATTGTGAAAGAAAAGGTGTGAAAGGATCAGAAACAGTTGATCATGTAGCATGTAAGTATTGGTGTGCACTGCAAGGTTCTGGAGTCATCAAAATCATAATAAATTTGACCGAGTCTTGGTAAAGTAACAAACACTCACATAGAAAGCTATATATGGGACAACACACATCGTGTCGGGGATGGTACTACCTTGGTTTCCTTGTCTTTCTATGCTCATTACTCAGCCAGTATACATTTTCTTCCAAAATTGTTTGGCACATGTCATTTATTTGTAAGCTTGAACATTCAGTGTAAGTTTCGTTTGATTCTGTGAGAATTAATTTTTTTTTTTTTACCAGTACTGGAGTTTATCTTTAACTTGATGTTAGGGACGTGCGAACGCACTTGTAGTTACATAAAAATTATTTTAACTTGAAGTTACAAACCTCGACAGATCTTAAAGTTAGCGGAATAACTATGAACTGCAGGGTCCTCACTCAAAGTTATGTGCCATGCAGACACAATTTACTTCAAGATTACGCCAGCTTGTAGTTAAAAATCAGTAATTTCCCCAGTTTATAGTTAATTTTGAATACTAGTTGTTTTAGTCCCGTGTGAACCTTCGTCAGGGTTTAGTGGAATCATTTTTTTATAACTTTTAGGTTTCGCAAACTTAACGTTTATAATTACGCCCCGGGATCAAGTGAACGTGAAGGGAGTTTTGAATTTCCATTGTATTCACTCTGTCAAATCTTTGTCAAAACACCGTCAATTTATGAGCACCTGATTGATGGCTTGTCAGAGCACAATATTGTACATCATCAGACATTCCTTTGTGTCTTATTATTTTTTAATTGTGCGGATGATTTGTGAAGAAGCCTTTATGATACTCCCATGTGTTGACCTATGTTTATGCTTGAAAAGACAAGATGAATAGAATCCGGGGTTAGGTATAGGCGACCTATCTGTCGTTAATAATGCAGATTTTGCATTGTGTTATCAAGGTTTCATTTTTTTGGAAGGAAACGTTTTGTCATTCACACTAACAAAGTCAAATTTACGGCCTAATAAATTACCGATCAAAACATGTATAGTTATGCTTATGTTCAGAGTTTTATAGGTAGGGGAAAAAAAATGTGATCTGGATATTGTCTACTGAGCACAAGAAAGATGTTAATCATAATTTCTTTAACGCCTTTAATCGCCTGTCTTGTGCGGCTCTCAATCTCAGTAGACACTATAACATCTGTTGAGAGCCAGAGAGTCGTTAACTGCATACTACCCTAAACCCAGAGGAACATGTACATAATGCCTATCTTGTTTTCAGCCGATAAATGTACTTCTTTTGCCCACGGAATAACCAATCCGAACGGTTTCACTGTCATTTCACCTCACTTTTGATCTGCGCCACAGTGTTTGTATTTAAATAATCCCTGAGGAGTGGAAATGGTGCATATATTGTTGTGTCGCTTGTGACTGTTGTGTGGGTATGAATTTAAGGGCTAGGGTTATATACATGTAAACTGATTATTGGTACGTTTGCATTTATAAAACAACACCACAGGTGTACATGTTTGATATTATTTCTTTTTATCAAGTAGCACAAATTTAGTAATTATAAGTATGTAGAAATTATTGTAGGCCCTATTTTATGGTCTGCAACTCATATCAAACACATGCAGAATCTTTTGATGAGTCGGTCTAATTTATTTTCAAAGGGAGGTAGCGCAACAATTGATCTTCTTTAGTTTCTTGCTACTTCCACTTTCATCGCCAACGTTGTGCCTTGAACAGACAGGTACAGTATTAACAACTTATTGACAATCCAAGTCATGTCTCATTGATCCTAAAAGGAAGTTAATTAGCACAAATTTTACAGTAGCTATATGGCTTCTGTTTTTTAATCTTCATTATAAATGATGCAATCTACGACAGTGTAAGTTGCACCTTGAGCCTCATAAAATATATTTTAAGATCTTAATGGTGCATTACAGTATGTACATAATTTATCTTGATAATCACTCACGATGGACAAAGCGGCAATACATTTCAGAGTTGCTACTCTCTAAACCCTGCATTCAGACTATTAGATTTCATTGTATAGCTATACAATATTGGAATATTAATTATGCCCCTAGTCAGGACGTCATGTAAAGAAACGTTGTACAGTCAAACCTGCTTTTGATAATGACCACCTGCCTATAGACTGTTTTTCTCGTCTCCCTTTGGTGGTCTTTATAGACACATTTCACTGTATAGTGATATGATTTTTTAAATATGAATTTTTTCCTAGTCAGAACGTTGTGTAAAAATATGTCATATAATGAAACGTGGTTTGAGCATCGTTACAAATGAAAATTTGATAAAGAATCAACACCCCGCTCTAGTCTAAATGTCATTTCATACAAAAGTAATATAACTGGGCAGGGCTTCGAAATTGGTTTCTTTACACAATGTTGTTTTGTAGTCTGTATGTTCCTTTCGCTATACGATGATTAATGATACTTTACAAGTTTTTTTAAAATAAGAGTTTCATATACATTCCCTACAGTCTGAACAGGTGGTATGTACAGGTATAGGAGTGGAAACCCACTCTTTTAGGAGTCATATTTGACAGGGATCACTTCACTTTAGAGATGAAACCCATGTTCAAAAGTGGAATCCACTCTCAAAGGAGTTATTCAACCCCCGACTTTGGAGTGGATTCCACAATAATTTGGGAGTTGAATCAACTCCATTATGATGTGATCATTAATACTCTTGAAAGAGTGAATTTCCACTCTTGTGCATATTGAGAGTACAGAACATGCACTTGATTTTCAGTAATAATCAGTGGATCAATGTGGGATAAATTATGAGTCTATCATGGGGACGGCTGCAGAGAAGTGGCTTTGGAAATGGCTTTAGCAACAGCATGAATAATTTATGGTCTTGCATGACTCTTGAGCAAGTCGGGACCTGCTTTCTTCTCAGTTCTGCCTTTTAGTGGGCAGTGAAGTGAAAGAGGGTTAATGCGTTTTCATGAAATGTTCGGAGCAATCTGGAAATATTGAAAATGTTTTAAAACCATGATTTGTAAAACATGAAACAAAACAATACATAACATAATTGTGTAGAAGCCTCCTGAGGCTCAGGTTGATTTTACTATGAAAATATCAAACTAGATTTGTTTGGATAAAAGAATACAGGAGGGGGATATTACAAGATTCCATTCCCCACCCCAAAGTTAACACCAAGCTTTTATCAGGTGGTAAATTGTTGGATGAATATGGAAATAGATGATTATCGACTTGATTAATAAAACAAAAATGTCTGCCTCCGTGCGTTATAAAATGCATTCAGGAAGCCATTATCATACTGCCTACTTAGCTATAGTCCTGGCTGTAGCGCTCACGTTGCTCTGCACACGTTGACACGCTATGGAGATGAATATGCCTCCAAGCTTTGTTGGAAAAGAGACACAAGGATGCACTGGTTGGGCACAAATGAAGGGATGTTGTGTCAGTGAACCTTTCCCTGGGGATGTTAAATGCCTGGCATGTAGGATGATTGAGTTGAATTACATACAGAGATACAGGTTATACAATGGATCAATTTCTTCTTTCAGGTGGATTGGGGTTCTTGCTCCCCTATGCTTATAAATTGGGCATGGAGATCACAGCCGCAGCAAAACAATAAAAATGGAATGATTTCATTTCTAAAAAGACCTGGTTAAACCAAAATTTAAAGAACAACAACAATAGAAGAGTTTGTAATGTGGTAATTATCAGACAGACACAATGAATAAACACATATTCCCAGATTGAATTTACAAATGAACAGAAATGATTTTTAAACTGGCATTGCAAGCCTACAATGTGTGAGATAAATTTGCATGGCTTTAATACAGACATTAGTGATAAAATAAATACTGTAATTATGTCCTATTAAAGACTAGAGAATTTAAATGACATTGGTATTTGGTAATCAATGCAACCTGCTGCAATCAACAAAACCTAAACATAGAAATTCCCTGTATTTCCCTGCAATCTTATCTTATTTTGGTCATTGCAACAGTGTGATCTTTGAACAAAGTAAATGTAGGTTTTTAGGATTTGCACACAAATAAAAGAACAAGGACATGATTGTTTTGTAGTGTTATCTTGGACTTGTCTTTCTTTTATTGCAGTTTTAAAAAAGTTTGTAGACCTCGCAGTAACATTGAAGAAGGCAGTAAAGTACATAAAGAAATTTGAACAGTGATTTGAATGGTGCTGACAATATCTCCAGAAATTGTTTTTTAAACACTAATTCTCAAGCTACAATAAAATATTTGGAAGAAAACATCAACCATTATTAAAATGGAAATATTGCCAATATATTGCAAATACCTTTATCTTTAATAACAGGATATTAAGGAACGTTAATTATCAAGTGCAATATGTAAGTCCCACATGTATAGCAAGAAACTACATCTCTTATGATATAGAAGTTAAATGTTACTTAGATTTGGAACATGCTCTTGTACATCCCAGATTCTGTAATGGTTTTAAATTCACATATAGAAATGCCATATCTCATTAAATAGTTTAATTCTTCTTTGGTCAATAACTACACTTTCAAGCCACTTGAGATATTTTATTAAAATGCTACAAAAATACCAGTCCCTACATAATAATCATGCTCAAATCCTTTTACTCAATAACCGCCTGTAGGAAACATGAAGCTTTATTTTACATTTTGCATAAAGATACTGCAAAGTATTAATAAATTATACTATATAAATCATATAATATAAATCATTTTATTAACAGTTTGCTTATTAAAGAATATCCTGTTTCTGTGGCAATTTGCAGCAAAACCTCCCCACTCATATCCCTAATTGTCTCCCCCGTCTTTCTCTTTTTCTTGATAAGAAAAAAGTTTGTAGACCTCGCAGTAACATACATGTACATGTGGATGAAGGCAGTAAAATATTTAAAGGATTATAAACATTGACTTGAATGGTGCTGCCAATACCTCCAGAGAATTTTTTTCAAACACTAATTCTCAAGCTACAATAAAATATTTGGAAGAAAACATTAACATTGATTTAAATGTATATATTGCCAATACCTTTATCTCAGGGGAATATTAAGGAATGTTAATTATCAAGTGCGATATAAGTCCTACATGTATAGCAAGAAACTACATCTCTTATGAGATAGAAGTTAAATGTTCTTTAGATTTGGAACATGCTCTTGAACACCTTAAATTCTGTAATGGTTTTCAATGTGCGTAATATGGACATGCCATTTCTCATTAAATAGTTCATTCTTCTTTGGTCAATAACTATACTTTTAAGCCACTTGAGACCAAAAATTCTACAAAAATACCATTCCCTACATAATAATCATGCTCAAATCCTTTAAACTGCCTGTATGAAACATGAAGCTTTACTTCACATTTCGCATAAGGATACTGCAAAGTATCAATAAATGATATATATAAATGTTATTATACAAATTATTTTATTTACAGTTTGCATAAAGAGTATCCTGTTTCTGCGACAATTTGCAGCAAAATCTCCCCACTCATATCCCTTTTGTCTCCCCCATCAAGTCCCTGATAAAGAATAAATACTTGATTTGTTCCTTATGTATGTTTGTAGGTAGGGTATGTCTGGGCAGGGACTTGTTAGTATCCCAAGTCCCTGGTCTGGGTTTGTCTGTCCAACAATGATTGATAAGATGTTGAAATTCCAAAATTCATTCGGTGGTAAACAATCCTTGAGTTACGTCATTGGGTTAAAGGAATGCAGAGATAAAGATCTATCCAAAGATAATTTTCTAAGCAATCTTCAACTGTTGAAGATTTCATGGGTCATTTGCATCATGTGATAAAAGTACGAGTTTGTTTTGATGATGCTGTGTAATTAACCAAAATAAAAAATGCATTTAGAGAAGTCCATTAAAATATTGTTTTCAATGTTTTGCCTTTGTCCAATAGGGTCATCGAATCATTACACTATTTATACTGTTCCTGCCCTTACACTTTAACTATTCTTGCCTTACATGTATGTTTGACCCTTTTTTTTCTTCAAATATAAAGAATCTTAATTTCTTTTATTGGAATAATTTTGTAGAATATACACACAAGTACAAGTCAGATGTAAAAATCGTTTCATCATGATTAAAATCTGTAAGGGATCAAATGAACATCTCTTCTCATTTCTTGATAGTATGCAAACAGCCAGTTTGTAGCTTATTTTGATTTGATAAATTAAAACACACTGTAGCTGTTGTCAGTTTCAACAACATATTATATAAACACCTATATGTATGTAACAAAACATTGCCCAAATGTTGAAAAATGGGGGAATTGTTTCGAAAGTGTAGACAGAAGATGGTGTTGCAAACTTGCAAAACACATGCCATGTGAAATTTTATGATTATTTTATGAGTGTCAAAGTTTGTTGCTGCTCAAGTGACAAGAGTTGGTGCCATAAATTGAGATTTACATGCCAGAAGACTGTTTCATGTCAAAGTACTAAAAAATGTATCTTTTTTTTTAATGGTTCTTGTTACACTTTGAGAAGAGATGTCCCTAACCTGATCGAACCATGACTGCACTTTGCAGCAGCCATAAAAGTTGTTTGATGCAAAAAAGCTCAAGTCAATTTTCTAAAAAAGTGTTTATCGTCTTCCTGCAATTGAAGTAAAAGTGCAAAATAAAGTGGTTCAATGAGTTAATGCCCTTCCTGTTCTCGACATACCATATTTTATTTTTCGCTTCTCTTCACTTCTGCACAGGCCAAACAGTAATGCAGCAGCTGTATCAATTAGTCCTATGTCGCAAAAGGACTTGGGTCCCTTTTCACCAAAGCATTTTATGATGTTTGTACTATGGTACTAAGAAATACTTTAGAAATAAGAAAACAAAATTCAAACATAAAAAGTTGTCTAATTGTTTGTATTTTCTCTTCCTCTCTTCTCTTTTACAGGTCAACATAGTAATGGTATTAATGTCCGGTGACCCCTGCTTCAAAGCGTAAGTACATAATACACATTTTACAATTATTATTGTATCCTTTTTGTTTTTATTTCGTATAGTTTATGTCCAACGATAAAAGGGGTTGTGTGGTATAGTTGTTCATTCCCTTGACTCTTAATCCTAGGGGTGAGGGTTCGAATCCCGGACCTTCACTATCCTTTTTGTGCACTCTGGTGTAAAATGGTTACCTGGCAAATGCTGGGCTAATAATGATTGCTTGGCCAACAGAGAAGGGGGGGGGGGGGGGTAAACATTAAGAAGAGAGAGGAGCAAAAGAGAGAGCCAGACAGAATGAATGAAGAAAAAGGAAAGAAAATGGGGAGAGAGAAAGATTCTATGAAACAGCCTGAGAGGGTCAGGAAGGCAGGGGTGGGTGGCAAAAGAAAAGAACAGACAGGGCATTACAGAAAGAAAGAAGCAAAGAGAAAGTAGAAATAGTCATATGTGAGATGGGGTCTAATTGTGCTGAAAGACAGACCAAGAACTCTTTTTCTTACAAGAAATGATGATAACAACTATCAGCATATTACTTCCGATACTCCCATGTTCTCTTCAGATACTTCTTAGGTTCAAAAGTTGATAGATAACCATATAAATTTTAGAGAGACCACCATTGCTAGAAACTCGTGTAAATAGATATGTCACGTTTCTCTGTTTTATTATCAACTTCTTTTTGGCATTTGTATCTGAAAAAGTCAAAGTTCGTCCAAAGTTTATGCATTCCTTCACATTTCTTGGCATTCTCTTCTGTATAGCCCTCTTTTATGTCTGTATTCTTCCCCTCATTCTTCTATTGAAGGTGTGAATGATTTATGACCTATTATCTAGGACTGCAGATTGTTTGTTGCTTTTTTTATAACACATCTCTTCATCTATTTTATTGGTATATTCTATTTTCTTTCTAAATGAAAGAAATAAGTTAAGTTCACAGACTCCAACAATACTTGGATTGGTTTGCTATTTCTTTGGATGCTTGGTTTTAAATGAAATAAAATGTAAATAAAACTGTTTATAAAAAAAGAGATTCAAATATATGAATTTGTTTCTGTGTTTAGAGTGTAGCAGGTCATTTGCATGTGTAAACTTTCAGAAGTTTATAGTCATAACTACAGAGCGCTGAATTAATTTTTACTTGGAAAAGATGAACAATTGATTGATCAATATTCAAGTCAAACGTGTTCATAAGGGCCCTTCTGGTGACAGTTAGATATTTACAGTGCCATCTTTGAAATTAAAATGTGGAAATAAGGTGGTCATGTGTCTGGTTTGAGACTAGTTGCAGACAGCAGGTCTTCTTCGAGTCAGGAATTTCATCCCAAGTTAATATGTATCCTGCCCTGTAACTAAAAACTAAAAATAACGTCAAACTGAAGATTTTGCTTTTCCGATCTCTGAAGTCATAAGTCTGCCTTTCCTCCATCATATCCGAATCTGTGTTGGTTAAAACTATATGTAGTTCAGGACTTCTTAGAGGTTACCAATTTTTGTTTTGATTGTTTGAAATAATGGATTAGGGTATTTCTTGGCCAGCCATTGCTATTTGTTGCTGACAAGTGGTTCAAGAAAAGTTCATCTTTAGCCTTACTTCAGTCACTCCATTATGGAGAAAACTACTACACGTACATCAAGTGGCAAAGGTAAAATTGACTTGGTTTTGAACCTCTTGGACCAAGACCTTGCCTATTTTGTTCATTTTATGCGTTAAAGAAGCTTACTGTACCTTGAACCTGAAACAAGACGGCAGATCAAGGTTCATTCTTGAAACTAGACTGGAGCCATTACCTCCGGAGCACTTGCCCCCAAAGGCAAAGGTCTTTAGCTGTCTAGCCAAAGCTTTGTGGATTGCTGATTGGTCATATCTATCTCTTCAAGTCCCCACCAGGTGTTCCAATACGCTGGCCAAGGTTGTCTTGAGCCTCTAGGTGGTTTGAAGGTGAAGGTGAAGGTCGGCTGAAACAGAAAGGCTGGGGAGGGATTAGTTGGTAGCCTGGCCCTTCAGACTATAGTTTCAAAGGCATTTCTAACAGCCAACAGAAGTAGAATGAACTGACAGGTGTGGAAATGGATGAAGTTCTACACCGTCAATATCTCTAGATGCAATATCGAGCTCTGACAATGTCAGAATTATCTTTGGAAGGGGCTCATTTGAAATCCTCAAGTAAAACAATTAATGTGTTTGAATGTGGCAAATATATTAAGTAATTTTTTTTTCTAGTCCCCACATTGTGAAATAGCAACCTACAGGTCTGTTTAAGTTCATCTCACAATATCTATTCTAGATATAAATCTTAAAAAGGAAGTTGTGGGCTCTGGCTTAAAGATGAAGTTGAGTTCTGGTCATGCGATTGCATTGTGAAAGAAACGGTGTGGAACCGACCAGAAAAGGTTGAGCATCTAGCATATAAGAATTTGTGTGTATTGAAAGGTTCTGGAATCATCAAAATGATAAGAAATTTGGCCAAGTCTTGGTAAAGTTACAAACACTTGCACAGAAAGATGTATACGGGACTACACGAACACGTGGCGTAAAAAGCCGCCCCCCCCCCCCCCCCGATTTTTACGATGTTACATGCATATTTAGAATATGAAGGCATTTGAAGAGCCATGCTTTTCAGGGAACATGTCTTAACTGATGTTCTTCCACACTTGCATAATAAGAATAATGCTCACAAATTATTTTTCACCTCTTCCCAGAACTCAACCTTCTCTTTAATGATTACCATGTAGGAATAGATAGTAAGGTCAGCAAACCTAGTAATCCATTGCGACCTTAGTATTGTACAATGTCCAGACTGTCTGTTGGCCTTCCCATGGTTGATGTATATAGATATTTCAAGAAGCGAGGAAACATATAAATAATCTTCATCCTTATCATTGTTTGGGGATTTAGGTTGCCATGACAGTGGTTATATTGTGCTGGATGTTTCTAAGAAAAATGTAAATCCAATTTTTAAAGGCAAGAATGAAGTTACTTTATATGTTGCCAAGTTCTATTATTTTTTTGAAAGACACTCTCGGTTGTAGAAAAGCTATAACCAATTCAGCATTTAAAGACTATTTGTTGGCCTGTATCGCTAAGTCTAACAGATGGTTAACAGCTTATGTAATGCAATGTATCCCTGTGGTTTTACCTATGACAGTTCATGAAGTTTCATGACATTTCATGACATTTCATGACATTACATGAAGTAACTTGTCTGATTGTTTTGGGGTTTTTCCTGCAATTGTGTGTGTTTAATGAATTGAGGATATCCTCTAAATCTGTAGCTATCTGTATAATGGAGAGAAGGGACCGATTCACCATTTTAAGAATCTTTGTTTGACAGATGGTTAAAAGTAATACAAAGTTTTGGTAATGGTATGGGGTCATGAGTTTGGTTCAAATGAACATATTGGAAGCATATATGATCCTAAAATATTCAGTGATCGTTGTCGCGGTTGAAATCGAGTCTAAAGTTATGAAATTGTAAACAATAAACTCTTTATGTTGTATAGCTCCCTCTCAAGGTCAAGATATTAATTATGCTATAAAAGAATGTTTTTTGACTAAAATCGACCGATTAGCTATTCCTGTTTGGTACTTATGTCACAACCACATATTCTGAGATTTTCAGGGTCGCAGCTACCATTATACGGCCGTAGACGCTATTTGAAATTCATCAAAATTTACCTGGAGCACCGGTAAATTTTTATATTCAATTTTTCTTGAAAGTAGAAGTGTTATAGGGGCTAAATTTTCTAACACTTATTATACATCCACAGGGGCATCCAAATATATCAAACGTGTAAAGAATCACTATCCACCCAATTTTTCCAAATTCCCCAAAACTTTGTATTACCTTTAACAGTTCATGTATTGCAATGTACAGGTATCCCTGTGGTTTTACCCATGACATTTCATGGAAAGTTTTTTTTTTTACCGGTAAACAGAATTCAAGTTCATGAAATAACATGTTTGATTGTTTTGAGGGTTTTTCCTGCAGTTTGGCGTGTTTAATGACTTGTGGAAATCCTCGAAGCTCTAGCTACCTGTAAAATGGAGAGAAGGGACTGATTCACCATTTTAAGAATCTTTGTTTAACAGAGGGTTAACAGTTTATGTAATGCAATGTATCCCTGGGGTTTACCCATGCTATTTCATGGAAAGTCTTTTACTGGGCAGCGTCTCACGAAACTGTCATAAGTACAAGTTGGCCGACATCCCATTGTATTGTGTGTATTAAGTTTAACACACGTTTCAATAGGATGTCGCTCAACTTGTAGTTATGACGGTTTCGAGAAACGCTGCCCTGGTAAACAGAATTCAGAAAGAGCCTCTCGTTATCAATTTCATGAAATAACTTGTCTGATTGTTTTCGGGTTTTTCCTGCATTTTTGTGTGTTTAATGACTTGTGGATATCCTCTAAATCTGTAGCTACCTGTATCATGCCTGGAGAGAAGTAGCCTCTTGTCGATGGCCTTACGCTGTTGGGGTCCGAAAATTCTGGGGAGCGAAGCGAGCCAGCTACGAGGCGCTGCCGAGGGCCTCTTAACAAGTGATCTGAATTTCTTATGGATTTTTTTTGTTTGGCAAATATTCCGACCCAACTGAGTTCGGTGAAAATCATCCAATCAGAGAGAGAGAGCTACTATGACGTAATATCTACCGCTCTGTGCTGATTTCATCCGTGAGAGTGAGACTGGCCGCCTATCTCCCGGTGCTTTCATGCATAATTCAGTAGGAAATCAGGTCTCATGTATATATATAATTCAGATCACTTGTTAAGAGGCCCATGGCCCAAGCGCCTCGCCAGAATTAATGGACTCCAACAGCCCCAGGTCCACCAACAAGAGGCTAGGAGAGGAGGGACCGATTCACCTTTTTAAGAATCTTTGTTTGACAGATGGTTAACAGTTCATGTATTGCGATGTACAGGTATCCCTGTGGTTTTACCCATGACTTTTCATGGAAAGTTTTTTTTTTTACCGGTAAACAGAATTCAAGTTCATGAAATAA